AAGCGACTAAGCGACTAAGTGACTAAGCGACTAAGCGTCTAAGCGACTAAGCGATTACTAATCAACCGGAATGTTCCAGCAACTTCTACTAATAATAATAATACAACAATAAAATAACTAATACTAAATAATAATAATAATAATAATATAATAATAAGAATAATAATAAATCGTTCTATAACAATATAAAAGAAGGAAAAACATTAACAAAATTAAGTATCTGCAAATGTTATGAAAGCAGATTAGAATGGACAACAGACAAGTACAAAAGATAGATAAGATGAGATCACAACATAAGAGTGATACTAGAGTTACTAATAGAGAAAACTAACAACAAGATAAATGTAATATTAGAACAAATATTAGAAAATAAAATAATAGAAGAATAGAAAAAAGATAAAATGAAGTTACTAAGAATAAGACAAACAGAAGAATTAAAGGTAAAACTGATCAGAAAACAAGAATTAAATAGCATGATTACAAACTAGCTAATAGAAACTTTGATATAAAACAAAAAAAAACAAGAGAAAATATAGTTTTTACACTAATAGAGTATTATATAATAAGAAAGAAAAATAGTATAAAAAGAATAAGTATTGGTTAAGTACAAATAGAAGATAAAAGAAACTTGTCTGAGGAGGAAACTGCATTGAGACTTGAAGGTTGGCCTTTAGCAACAATAGCAGAATAGTAGCAATATAGACAGCAATCCTAATGGTGCCAGAAGAAAAAAGTATAGAAGTATTTATAGACAGCATTGCAGTATTAAGAAACATTAATAAAGCACTTCAAAATATAGAAGAAAAAAGAACTTTGAAGAAGAAAAATGCAATGTAGATAATAAATATTGTAGGTCTTATCAAGAGCAAGAACATTAAGATAAAAATAATTAAAGTAAAAGTTATAGTAAAAATAAGTGAAATGACAAAGCAGAATTTCTTGCAAAAAAAGAAACAAATTGGCAAAATATAATATATGCAAATAAAGTCAAATATAATAGAATAGAGTACTATTTAGAATAAAAAAACAAGAAAATTGATATATCAGCAAGACTTCAGTATAAAATAGTAGCAAATATTAGAATTAGAACCAGTTGAAGAAAAACAAATACAATATGAATATTAGAACCAGAAACAGAAAATACATTATATAATTAGTCAAGTTTTTGAAAAAAAATAAACAAAACAAAAGGTGTTTATTGTATATCAAAAAAACTTAGCACAAAAAGAGTTACAGTAATCAAGTACATAATAGACAGCTTATTAACACTTAAAGGGTTAAACAAAAAAAAATTAGAAGTATACATAACAACAGAATGTCAAATATACCAAGTTAGAAAAAAAAAAACCTTGAACATATTTAGTAAGTTGTGATAGACAAAAGAGTTTGTAAAAGTAGATTCAAAAAGTTACAATAGCAATAGCATAAAATAGATTTATGAAAGAAAAAAAAAACAGAATTCTATCACAAGTCTTATACAAGACATTATTTGAAAAAACAAAAACAGAAGAAATCACAAACAGAAAAGTGCTAATAAAGGAACTCACAAATTTAAAAGTAAAAAAAAGACTCAAGCAACTCTTAAGTAAGCAAGCAATACAGAAGTGCATAGATATAGTAATAAGAACAGTATAAAACACTTTTTATAACCAAGTATGAAAAGTAAGATGTAAAAAAATACAAGCTTGGAAGAAGATCAACATAATGAATAAGATGAAAAAAGATGCTTGTGCAAGAGAGAAAACAAAGAAGAGAGTAAAGAAAGATAAATAAGCAAAAGAAGAAGAAAAAAATAAAGCAGAAACAGCAGATCAAATAAAAAAAGAAGCTTTTAAAGACAATAAATATGCTTGTTATAGAAGAAGGAAAACTTTCTAATATGGCTTTAAGTAGTTATACAAGCAGTCTATCTTTAACTGAGATAGTGTAGCAGGTTGCACTTAGGTACCATTAGGGTGGCCAAGTAATGCTAGACTTAAATATTAAGAAATTCTATATAATTGTATATATATATAGTTTCAAGAATCTTAATAAAGTACTAGTATAACTGCTTAAGGTTAAAAAAAAAACAATAATAATACTAAAAAAATATTAAAATAAAATAAAATTTATAAATATAAAAATGAATATTTATAATTTATACTGGAAGTTACTGATATTCAGGATGCTATATCTTATTAAATTAATTAAGAAATAGGAGTCAGATAGGTTAAGTAAAAATGTTCAGAACTCCAAAAAATCTTATGTAACTTATAAATTAGACTATAATATCTAACCTCTATTTTAGTATTAAACTGCACTCTAATTCTAATTTTTAATAAAAAAAACTAAAAACAATTATAAAATAGAGAAAGATTATTAATAACTCCTAGTATAAAATACATTTTTTTTATAAAAATTACTTTTTTAATTTTGTAAATATAAAATTCAAATATAATTTTTTTTTTATATTTTAATTGTAAAAGCCTAACTGTGTTTTAATAAAGATAAAAATATAATCTTATTTTTTAATATTTAAAAAAAATTTTTTGCAAATTTTTTTTTTTATCAATTTTATTACTTTTTGCAATATCTAGTTCATATATATTATATATTTTAAGTTAATAAAAGCATAAAAGATGTGGTGACTTAGTAAAGTAAATAAGTTGTTAACTTTTTAAATAGTAGGTTGTAAGTTCAAAACTTATCAACAGCAAAAATTTTAAAATTACTTATGTAATATATAGATAGTATTATAATAACAACATTTAGTTAATTAGTTAAGATAAGATACTTGTAACTATAATCATACTAGTATGACTGACAGATCATAGAACATCTGTATAATTAATTACATAGTGAAATGCAAACTGGTAATAGGCAATACAAATCTAAATAAGTTCTTGTACAGTGCATGACACTTAAAGACTACACAATTTTAAAGATTAATAACTTAATATATAAAAATTATACAAAAAAAAATAAGCTGCTAATTTGTAGCTAAACCAATTTATTACAACTTAACAGCTTTGCTTTTTAAAAAATTTTTGTGTCTTTTAAAGTTATATAGCCTTAAATATATAGTATTTTCATATAAAAATGTAAAAATTGACCAAAATTAAAACAAATGTATTGGTCAATCAAATTAAATATAGAGTAATTTAATAATTTGATTGGTGGAATTTTGTGGACAAGATTACGTGATAGATCATTATACATAAATTAGGTTCACTAAGAAAAAAAATCTTTTTCATATAAAGAAAGTATGATTTGGCCTCCAATATATAAGAAAGTAGTTTGTGTGGCCTAGTGCTAACCCATATATGAAATGTAATTTGTGTGTGGCCTTGATTTGTGATAAGAACCACATATGAAATAGTTTGTGTGTAGCTCTAATCCTGATAAGAACCTGCATATGAAACCTAATTTGTGTGTAGTCCTAATAAGAGTCCATATATGAAACATATTCTGTGTTAATCCACAGCAAGAATCTGCAAACAAAACACATTTTCTTGCCAAGTTGAATATTTTAATAAAGTATAGAGAAAAGAAAAAAAACAAATAATATACTTAAGGAATACAATATGCAAAAAAAGAAGTTAGCCAAGAAAAAATGAATGAAAGAAGAGTTTGAAGAGAAAATAAAAAAGAAGTATATATTGAAGTTCAGGATTTGGAAGAGGATAGTGAGCTTGATAGAGAAGAGGAAGATAAGGAAGCAGTCGACTATGAAAATAAAAGAATACATGAATGGTTACTTACTATATCTCTTATATGAAAAAAGAAAGAAAAGAAACCACGAATAATTAAAGGATTGCCAAAAACAACTTATTATCACAAGTTCAGCTCTTCTAGTACTCTGACCAATGCTGCTAAGGGAACTCATAAAATTACAAGTTTTTTTGGAAATATAAAGTTAGAGTTTTATTGTTTACGATTAATTTTATAATTTTATTACTTGTTCAAAGTATCTGGCATATTATTGTATAAGGCTTTATTAGTGTTAATAAAAAAAAAAAAACTATGCTTTTAAACAAGCAATGCAATTTGAAATGAGTGTATAAGATTCTAATTTATTAATTTATTTATTCTTAAGTGATCTTATAGTGCCTTTAATAGATGATGTATCATCTGTTACAATATATGAAAAAATGGCACCTTCAGTAAATGAAGTTTTATCAGTTACAGTATCTAAAAAAATAAACCAACTTCAGAGATATCTGATACAAAATAGGCATATAATCACAGCCTTTGAGTATAATGAGTGTCAGGCAGTTTATAAATATTTTGTACTGTTAGAAGACAGGTATAGAAAGAAGAATGCAAGCCAGAAGACTGTGTATAAAACCTATATAACACCAAAACCATATACTGCTAGAAGAATTCGTTCCTTAGCCAAATATTATTTGCATAATGGATCATTTCCATTGTCATACTGTAGAAAGCACCAGAAGCACAAATGACTTGTCGATAATAAAAACATTGCAATGCAATGTAAATGTTAGATACAACAAAATTTAAATGTAAATAGTATTGATTCATCTGAGTTTTAAGAATGCATCAACTATGTTATTCTTCCAAAGTATACAGGAGAAACAAAAAAACAATCAGCTTGTAAACAGCTGAAAGATGGCTGAATATCTTGGAGTTCCAATTTAGGCCATACCAAAAAGGAATATATGTTGATAAACATGAGCGAGATAATGTGATTGTATATCGAAAAAAGTTTTTAGAGAAAATGAAAAGCTTAGAACATCGAATGGCAAGGTATGAATCTAAATAATATGGAATCTTTACTAACAAAGAAACCTATCAGAACTATGTAAATCATAGTCCTGATAGGACACTTTGTTAGCAAAGATCCTATATGTAATAATTTAAAATAAATTTCAAAGTGATTTAAAACAAAATTTTATTACTTTCAGGTATGAAGAAGAAGCAATGGAAAAAATTCCATTAGTGCTTAAGGCTTGTGAATAAGAATTAATTCTTGTAATGCATGATGAATATGTTTTTTACTCAAATAATAGAAAAAAAGACATTTGGGTACCAGATGGGTGTATGCTATTATAAAAGAAAGGAAATGAAAGATCGATCATAGTAAGTGAATTTCTTTTAAAGGAATGTGGTTGGTTGAAACTAAGTGAAAAAGAGATAAGAATACATCCAAACATTCCTACAGAGGCATGTTGCTATCTAATGCCTAAAAAGAACTAAGAAGGGTTTTGGACAGTTAATAATTTACTAATGCAATTAGAGATAAAGCAATTTCCATTTTTGAAGCAAAATTTCCAAATGCAATGGCTATGTTTGCTTTCAACAATAGCACAAACCATGGGACATATGCAGAAGATGCCCTTATTGCTGCTAGAATGAACCTAAAACCTGGTGAAAACCAACTAATAATGTGATCAACAACTTTTGTAGGAGCCGATAGACAGTTGAACATTCAACATATGGTATTTGAAAAAAACTATGTATTCGAGGAGGATGAGGATTATGATGAAACTATGCGAGAAAAGCCAAAAGGCATTAAAGTAGTATTAAAAGAAAAGGGCTGTTAGAAAGACAGGTTGCTTTTAGAATGTAAGCCATGTAAGGGTAAGGAGTTTTTTAATGATAATTTACAGGTAGACTGTTGTGCAAGAAAGATAATAGCATCTTAACCTGACTTTATTGCACAAAAGTCAGCTATTATAGAACTGATAGAGGATGCTAGCTATATTTGTGTTTTTGATCTGAAGTTTCATTGCGAATTTAACTTTATCAAAATGTATTAGAAGGCTGCTAAGAACTATACAAAAAAGCATTGTGATTACACTTAGGCTGATTTGCAGAAAACTGTTCTATGAGCACTTAATTTGGTCGATGTCATTAAAATTAGAAGATTTGCACAAAAGTCATAAAGATATATGAAATTATATCATGAGAGATTAACAAGAAAACTGGCAAAATATGCTTGCAAGAAATTCAAGTCACACAGACAGATACCCAAGAATGAGTTAGCTCAGTTCATACAAGAGAATTATGAAGAGCAATAGATAGTAAAGATCATAATTAGAAGAATGTTATTAGAGAAAAATAATGTAATAAAAATAACTGTTTAGTAGTTAACATGTATTAACATGGTTTTTTTTTTTTTTTAATAATAAACTAGAGTTGGAACAGCTTTATTCTAAATTATCTTAACATGATCTGCTCTAATTTCTAATCAGTTTAACATAGCATCTGGTCTTCTAAATGAATAAATTTTAAAATTTCAAATTTTAAGTTTTTTTTTAAAAAATTTTTTTAAATTGTTTTTTTTTACAAGCTATTAATATTGCATAAGTGGAATTTCTTAAATAAAGAAATAAGAAAGCCTCAATAATTGCGCATTCTTAATTTTTTTGTAAGCAAATTTGTTTACAGTTTTGAGCAAGTGTGGTATAAGCAATTTGAGTAACAATTGATTTGGCAATACATAATTTTTTATAATCATATGCCAATAAATGCTTAATGGAATATGTATAATAACAGTATTAGGCAAATGAAACATTGAATTTATAGATTCCAGTTAAATATGACAATGCATGCTTGGCCAAACTTGCACAAATATAATAATACAGTATTTTAAAAATGTGATTTTTGATTAAAATATATATTATTTTGGGATATATGATTGGTCCAATCATATGACAACCCATAACATTTGAAAAATATGCATAAATTAACTTTTTGACATACTTTAGTTTGGGGGTCAAAATGGGACAAATATAGTCTTTAAGTGTCATGCACTATAACTATGTAAATCTGTAAAATATGAAAGCTAGAGCTTATTTAAAAAAATCTAAGAAAAAAAATAATATAAATCTTTAATAGTATTAGTATCAAGACTAAATCTAAGAAACAAACACCAATATGAAGAAATTGGATAGACAAAAACTTCAGATAAGATGTACTACTAATCAGATTATCAGAAGTCTTAAACTAAAAAAAAAAAATATTAGATGTCATAATCCTAATATATCAGAAACAGGTTATAGTCCTTCAAGACTATCTGAATTAAAAGTTTAATACAAAAAAAATAGTATACTATTTTTTTTTTTTTTTTTTTTTTTTTGAACTTTGGCGACAATGTCAGTTGGTTTTTATTAGCCTTAATTTGATATAGTACAAATTTTATGGTTACATTTAGGATCGATTATTACTAGTACTATATACTATCTAATTTAACACCACTGACTTCACCCGGTTACCCTTATGGCAC